CAAGGTCCTAAACCTGGGTAATTACCCAGGGAAGACCCCCACCTGCATTATGCTAAATCACAATTTTACATCTTTTATACATATTGGTAAAATATTTCTAAGTCAGACTGAAATACAGCCTGTCTGCCAGATGCAATTTCTGAGCAGCTAATTCTGAGTACCAACCTTTAGCAAAGAGCATTTTAATGAGATCTAAATGAAAATCCCTAAATGTTAAGATTCAGTCATATGAAACCAACTGCACCCAACAGTCTGACACAGCAAAGAAGAAACATTGTGTTTTCTTTCCAGCATTTTGGTTTATAAGCATAACCTGGCTGTAACTTCTTGGGACTTCCTAAATGTTTCTTTGCTTTTCGTAGCAGTTCTTTCACAACATGTACCAAGAAATTGGATATGCTCTACATGTTGTATTAATTGTAAGTAGAAGATCCTGCCACTATAAACTGGTTTTCAACTATAGACTTTTCAAAAACTTAAAACATAGCTCTGCTTTGCAGGAAAATACGCTGCCTACAAAGTTGTTATTTTTATTTAACTTTTAGGAAATTCTGATTCATAATATTTAGAGGTGTTCGTAAACTTGATCACTGCACGTGACAAAGCCAAGCTTTGACAGTGTGGAAACCACAAACAAAAATATTTTGGTCATCTGCAGAGTGTGTTAAATCACCAGCAGGATGTTTTCCAATTATTTTACAGAAGTTGTACAGATTTTAAGTTAAGAAGTTTAAATGCCATAAATCAATCATACCAGCAACATTTGTGCCACTGTAGTAAAGATTACATCAGTGTTTCCATTATAAAACTGCTATTTTTCAGGGGTTTCTAATTCAGCCATAAAAACTTGCTCCAGCCTAAAGCTTGGCAACCAAAGTTACCACTTGGGAGAAATTCTTTTAACCAATTTTTTTTTTTTTTAAATGGATTCACCTTCCAAGCTATAAAATAGTTCAGAAAAAGAAAAATAGTGGTTTCAAATTTTGGTGAACTTCTATCCCCCCAAAATATTGTTTTAAAAACTGATAATTTTGTATGTTATAAATCTGTAATGTGGACTGCTGCTTTTGGGCAAATTGGATAGAAGCAGTGGACAAAAATCACCAGCTTATTTTGTTTAAAAATAAGTGTAACTTCCCATGAAAACTTTTAATCCAATAAAATCTTCACAAATTACTTCCTCATGGCAAGATGCGGTAGACATTGCATAAGGAAGCCTTTATGACTCATTTATGCAGCATCTATTCCATTTATTTTAATTTCTGTGGTCAGAGGTACGTAATACCATATTTTGACACCTTGAATCAAACCTGCCCGTCTTCTTCAAGACAACAGTTCTGCCATTTGGCAGCACAGATCCACCTGTGATGTGACATGGTCCCTGACAAAGTTGTATATAAGCACAAAAAAAGAAGAAAGAAATACTTTGAAAGCAGCAAAGAAACAGAACTCCTTTAAAACTTACTTTGTTTAAAAATATGTATCAAATACTGTTTCTAACCCACTTCTAACAGTCTCAATTTTTATAAGAATTATTGATTAGGTTTTAAACCTAGTTTAGTTCTAACGTTAAAAAGTCCTTCAGACATTGGTTGATTTCACTAAGATGCCTGAGGCATCTTCAGGCTCCCAGAAGCTCTCTCATGAACATAGCCTCAGCAAAAAGGAATTACCAGCCCAGTCTCATCCACTGCCTATCAAAGGCAGCAAAACTTGTCAACAGCCCCAATAAGCTTTGGACTCAATCCTCCGTGCAGTCTGAATTTCTAGTAGAATTTTTTCTTAATTCATATTTAGGCAAATTGGTTTGGAAAGCTGTTTCCGTAAGTTCTGAGAAGCTTAACAGCTCACATACTTTTTTTGAAAAGTAATTTTAAATATATAATAATTGCTAAATTATAGCATTAGTTGCTTGAGGGGAGGATGTCTGGTTTATATTTAGCCCTTATGTCATCAGTATCAATTTTTAATACTATGCTTCTTGGCTTTTGTCAGTTTGCTGCAGAGCTGTATTTTCTTTTTTCAAACAGCTATTTGCAATGAAAAAATGTTAGAGATATTTGCCCCTTTCCCCACACCATTTTGTGATTTCAACATAGTGCATGTTAATACATTCTATACCATAAAAGATATCACCTTCATATTTAACGAGCTTTCAAGGAAATTGTCTTTTGATTGCGAGAAAAATAATACTGCTGAACATAGAGCATTTTGAGGCTTTTTCTTTCTACAGGTCAAACTGTGTACAGATACTCATAAATTTAAGATGTAAGACAACAGAGAAAAAACCTGAAGAAAAGACAAAAGATTGATCCAGCTAGTCACAGAGATAGATGTCATGCTTATTAGTTTTGGTGTTCCATTAGCAAATATTGTTATTATAGTTTAATATGTTTTGATATCAACTGATATTCTTTTACATAAAGGCCCCTATATGGTACAATACCTACAACACACACTTGGATCTAAATATTTCATCAGAAAATTCAGTCTAGGAAGGTTAGGAAAGTTTGGTGAGAAACAAGAGAACAGAGAACGGCACAGCTGGAAACTTACATTAAAGTAACCACATCAGCCAAAGAGAAATGACCTGATAAGTACTACTGGTCTGCAGTCATGTCATACTTGTGCAACGGCTTTGCAGCTCTCCAAGTCCAACAGGTTTGACCCTGAGCACATTTTAAAATCTGCAAGGTACCTTCTAAGCAGTGCTGGCTGTGCAATAGGCGGCAGACTCCTCTCTGAATCACATGTAAGTCTGTGACCCAAACCACTATTTTCTAGTTGAGATGTAAAATGTGCTCATTAATTTTTTTTAAATAGTGCTAATCCTGGGTTCCCAGTCCAATTCCAAATCACAGTTCTATGATTTGTGTTACCTAGTAAAATTGTCTCCAGAATTTGGCAGTACGTGGATACATGAGCTATGCTATGCAGTAATAATCCCATTCACCACTTCAGATACAGAAGTAATGTGTGTTGCTCTGGAAACAAGTCACAATTCTTTATTTTCTGACAAACCTTTGATGGTATTATATGTAGATAAATTCCTGTAGTATTCCATGATTAACTGGCTACACCTCTGTGCTCCCTGAAGAAATCTTTCCACATAGGTCTTTAAAAGTGAAGCTGGTAACACTGTAAACACTTTTACTGATTTTATTAGTGTACTAGGGCTGGAAAGCTAAATGGACTATTAACCAAATCCTAACTACTTGTTATTTAAATTGAATGAAGTACCATATTTAAAATCAACATTAATTTTGAATAACCTTTGTGGTTTTTGCTTTTTTTTTTTTTTTTTTTACATTAACACACTCTGGATAAACTCCAGTAGGGGTGACCAAGATTTCTCACCCTAAAAGCCACCTACCAAACATAAGATCATTAAGCCCAGGACCTTGCCTGATTTTTTGCACAGCTATGCACAGGGCAGAGAACTAGTAACAAATGCTGATGCATAAGAATAAAAAGGAAATGGAAATGATAGTGGAAAAAGAGAAACCAAAGTTATCTATACACTGCACAAAGAGCATGTGCTCTAGCGGGCAACTGAATGGTGGTCCTAGGATCAGACACCAAGAAGAATGAACCATGGCAGGGAGAGGATGGAAATAAAAGTGCACTGCATGCCTAGCAGAAGGAAAGCACATAGACCTACGCACGGGAAGTTGTATATGCAATTATTTCCACCAGAGAGAGAACTGAGCAAACACAGTAGGGAAGGTGTCCTAAAAATGCAAGGTCCTGTAAGAGTTTTTTAGATAGCTAACTTAATCGTCATGAATTCATAAATTCAACATATCTTACTGAGGTTTAAAGATGGTTTTGTTATAAACAGGAAGAACAACAGTGTTTCTCCAAGAATAATATTCTTGGCAGAGGTAAGAACCCTAAAGCATCTAGCTACTGCTGAAATTAACTCCAGAAAAGAACCTGTTCACTGCAAGTCACTTAAAAAAAATAAATACACGCTAGTTTATGGTAGGAGATAATGTTTTCTCAAGAGGAGAAGCAGAGTCCAGTTTCAACCAGGGATGATGACAGAAAAGATCACATCTCATACTAGGATTTACCAGCTGAAGTATCCGCTAAACCAGAGGCACACATGGATTCCTAATTACTTTTTTCTGACCTACACAGCAACCATTCTCTGCTTTTAGCCAAAGTAAAATCACCACGGCGTTCATGTATTTGTGAATTTAATATAAACATCTTATTAGACCTCGCAATATCAGAATTTAATTTTAAAGGCTCATAATAATGACAGATGCTTGCATATGTCCACACACTTGTGTGCACACTCAAACACACAAACAAATTATAGCGGTCAAAATTCACTACGCAGAAAGTTTGTTTGGCACATGCTGAACATAAGCAACAATGTAAAGCACTTCTTAATGATGCAGAGGCATTGATCTGCCACTGACCGAAAATTGGGCATGGCATTTCAATTAGATTATTTTTAAGAACAAATAAAATTTTGTTTTAGTTATAGCCTTTTACATAATATATGGGGGAAAGGTAGAAGAAAAAAACCCAGTTTTAGACATTTCTGGAACAAATTATTTATCTCTAAACTTTTGTACACAAAGTCCAAAATGAAAGTGATGTGTGGCATAAAAAGAGTTGGCAAACAGAAGGAAATTGAGAAAAGTGGCCTCAGTGAGGCACAAAATGGTTATATGAAGACAACAGGGTATAGGAGGAAAGTGTGGCAAAGTTTTGAAAAGTTCACTGATTTTCTCACTGAAAGACAATGTGAAAACAAAAAAAACCCAAAGAATAAAACTAAAAACTTGCATGCACATAAGAAAAACACACCAGTTGAAACCCTTCACTTCTAAAGAACTTCTTAAGCATATCTTCTTGAAGAAGGGGGAGAAAGCATAAAATTAATATTCCTGTCTCAAAAGGCTGAGCAGGATTGTCAGAAAAATGAGTGCTTTCATTTTAAAAATTGACAGCATCAATGGTAAAAAAGCTTTCCCACAGCTTACCTCATCGCAATGTTGTAGGACTCTGGATGAATACAAGTTTGGTCCAAAGGATTGGGCTGTCGTGAGGTACATGGTGTTGGCTTGCTCTTCTTTTTACCCTGTGCACCTGCTTTAGTCAAAAGTGCATGACTTCCAAGGTCAGTTTTCTTACTATGGTCAGAAATCAAAAATGCACATGTCATTCTTAACAAACAAGATCCTAGCCCAGCGCCACACATGAAAAACAGGCCTCTATATAATGTTAATTCTTTACAAAACAAAAGTACAAAACCCCTAAAAGGTCATTGTGGGTGAATCTTAGCAAAATTATAGCATAAAAACATATCAATGTATGCATATACTAATTTAAAACAGAAACAAGCCTTAGGAAGGGATTCTGTGCTTCATCAAAATTTCTTCATTATGACAAGGTCATAAAGAAAACACTACACAACCTATTGTATTGTTTTCAATTTGGATAGCATCTTCTGTCTCTAAAACGGGGTCAACTGCACTTACCTACTTGATAAAGATCTTGGGAGGATACTTCCATGCTTAACTTTCGGTTAATAGTCTGCATCATTTTAAATTTGAAAAATTTCCAAACAAAACTTCCTATTCATATTATCTTTACAGCAAATTGCATCTCAAGCAGGAGGAGGAAAGTATGTGAACGCTTAAACATCAGAACTCCTTAAACCACATTGAATGACTTCCCATACTTACATTTCTGAAGAATTCTGTTCAAACATGGGCCAGGTCAAAATATGAAAAAAATTCAAATCAAAAGAACTCAGATCAAAATTTGCTTAGAACAGAAAAAAGCTAAAGGTGAAATCTACCACTATTTCAGAATTTATAAACCATTTTTGCAGAAGTATGTTAATACAGCTTTCCTTAAAACTTAGTGAATTACTGACTCCTAATCAGTTAGCTCCAGTTAGCATTTGGATTGGGCTTTTTTTTTTTTTTTTTGTCTTTAATTGGCTGGATAATGAAAAGGCTCCAAAGTCTCAAGGAGATCCAGGCACAGATCACCCACATTGTGCACATTTACAGAAGACAGAAGAGAAAGTGCTCAGTCTTCATATGTGTAGCATATTTACAAGGTCAGACTTCTTTTCCCTTAAAGTTTTCCCCCAAGTAAAAAAATTCTCAGGATACATCAAAGGCATCAAGTGGCAAAGGCTCCTTTCTTTTGTTTGTTTTTATTTCTTAAATGACAAGGGGTTCCTGCTTCTGCAGAACAAACAAGAATGCACTGAAGGACCCAGAACTGGCATTTGCACTTCAGGCTCTACCAATGCATGGACCACTGGCAGAAAAGCAGACAACCTTCTCTTTTTAAATTAAAATTTTTTTTTAAATTTTTTTTTTTTTAAATTAACCACTATCTGTTAACTTCCAAGTACAAAGCACAAAAACTAATTCACACAGCACTCTGTAGCCACCAATATGATTACAGAGAACAAATGAAACTTTCTCAGTCCATTTCAAAAATATTTGAATATGCCACCTGGGCCCACAAAATATGTTGTGGAGATGATGGTGTTAGAGCTTTATTTTGGCCTCAAACTCCAAAGCTATAGCAGATTTCTCAGGTTATACAGTGTTCTCAAGTTTTACAGAACCTGACTAACATCAGAAGCGTGCTCCAGCAAGGAAAAAAAAATTACAATGTTCTTAAACATTTCACCAGTGAATTAAAAAAAAATAATTTTTTTTTCTTCTTATGATGTATTGCAGCATTCACTACAACAGGTCCGTACAACATAAAACCTATCGATCACCTACAGCCCTGAAAGCAATTTATTTGGTCTTCTGGTGCTTATGGTGCACACCATTTGGCCTGCAGCATGTGCCTCCCTGCCAGATGGGCAACCAATCTGTATACCTTCCACCTGGGCAGTGAGCCAGTCCTAATGTGCCTACCTCCTGCCTGGAAGTTACATGTGTGCTGTTTGGCCAGCAGCAACTAGGAACACAGTATAGCTTCTGAGCATTGGGTTGGCTGAAAAATAGCATGTGCTTCCCAGGAAAATATTTTTTGAGAAGAGTCAGTGGCAAAAAGTTGTGGATGGTGCTACCACTGTGCCCTTTTTTCTTAGTTGTTTATGTCGGAAGGAGAAATGAGAAAGATAGGAGAAGAGACGTTGCCCCGGAAAGTGCACTTCCAGTTGTGAAGATGAAGAATGTCAGGTGAAGAGAAGGCACAGTGAAGGGTTACCAGAGGGAAAGGCTTGGTACAAAAGCAAGGAATGAGATGACAGGGAGAAGGATGACCCCTTGTTGACAAACTGGATTTGTGAAAGGTCTTCTTACATATTTGAGATACAAGACGGTCACATCATGCTTTCTGGGCACAGGAGTGAAATACAGAGCTTGGTCCAGGCTGTTTATTCAACTTTCTCTCTCCAGGGAATAGAATTGAAACTCTCCAAAAATCCACTTTAGTTTACTACCATTATGTTCTTTACTACATTAAAATGAATTTACAAATTGCTAAATTATGCCTGAAACACAAAACCGTAAGGTTTTAATATCTCAGATCACCACACTGCCATATGCCAAACTTCTACTGATTCAGTGGCAGAATTTGTAATTAACCTTACATACTTACAGAAACCCTGACTTAGAGTACATGGTTTACTATGCTAGTAAACCATGATTATTCAGCAGAAGACCTAAGTTCAACTACTGACTTACAACGTTTATTTATTAAGAGATTGTCTGTCAGAAGGAAAAGGCCTAGCATTCCTCAAATCTCAAGCCTGAATACAAAACAGAAAGGGAAGAATTATTCTCATTATATTTTGGATAATTTAGTCAAGATAGCCAACATCTCTACTACCTGCAGAAGGTCTTTATATATTCTTGATTGAATCTGATGAAGCCAGCGCACTGTTGGAAGGATTTGGGACCCAGACCTTTAACTTCCTTGAGCTGTTCTCGGTTTATAAACGGTCCATTCTTCTCTCGCCATTCAATTATATTTCTAGCCCTGTTAGCGTTCAGTCCCGCAATGTGTCTAAGAGAAAAGTTTACAGAATACATTTACTACCATTGAACAGTCATTAACACAAGTCCTATCCATTATCAGGTTACGCATTACTGTAGAAAATCTGGTTTACAAAACTTAAAAACAGCTAAGAAATTTGCGAATAGACTCCCAGACCAAAGGCATAATCTGGAAAAGGATCCCTTAATTCTGTGGAAAGAATCCACTCAAGGCACCAAAACTTGGTACAGCAATACGGTTCTGCACATACCTAACCAGTAAGCTAGGGATATGTGATTTATGATCTGTTGGCTATTTCTGTAATGCCAATTCAATTTGTCATGTCTTATGGCCTTCCCCAGCTGCCCTCTTCAGGAAACAACGTGGGAGGAGGGTTCAGGACAGATAAATTGTTCCTGTGAGAACAGACCCCTCTCAGCTGTTCTCTTCCAAAGGTACCTCAACACCCTTCCCCAACATGAAGGGCTGACGTCTGCTATCCAGGAGAGTGGCTGGAGCAGCTTGCCTTCCTCACACGATTTAACAGATCCACACAGCTTGTTCCTTTTCTCTCAACTGCTCTTGAGATAAAAGAGAGCTGGGAACAGGCTGCATGAGTTGGTCCAAGGGCAGCTCGGATCTGGCAAAGAACTCACCTGTGAAGTGCAACTGCAGTTAGCCAAGTGCCTTCAGGAAGCAGTGGTTTTGCTGCACATTTTCTGTATGTACATGTGAGTACAGCTTTCTGTGTATGGAGTATGTTAATCACAGAAAGAGGGAAGAGAGCTGTGGTGGGCAGTTACTCCTGGCACTAGAGAAGGAAATGTCACCCATCTGGCTCTATGTATCAGATGCCATTGCTTTAAGTCAACAGCAGCCGAGACCTGTTTGTGGCATGGCACAGGCTGATTCTAGAAAAACACCACCAGCAAACCTGGCAAGACTAGCCAAAATCAGGGTAAAAAAAAATTAAAATCTTTCCATTATCCTCATCCCCAAGCAAAAGTTAAAAAAATAATCCGAAATTGGTGAAACCTCAGAACTAAATTGGAGAGACACACCTTTAACCATAGACAAAATATTAATCATTAGGAATGGAAATATCTTCAAAAATTTCTTAGAAACATTATGAAATCCAGCTTATTTACACTGACAAGGGAACATGACACTGAGTTCACAGAATTTTCCACTGATTGGTCTCAAGTCATTCAAGTACAACGCTCAGCAGTAGTGCAAGCACTGTAGCATTGTCACTGCTTCCATGTGTAATATGTGTCAACAAGTGTATTTGATGCATCAGAAAGCACGAGCAGAAAGCCCTGCTTATGGAATATTCTGTCTAGGGTGACAATTTCATACACTACACATCTGCCGGAAACTTAGATTTGCTACACAGAACAGCAAAATGGAATTGCTGAGGATCAAGTTAGATACAGAACTTAGTGCAGCACATACATATGATAAGCCAGGCTAATTAGAGCAAACAAAGTACTTAGCCAACAGTTACCACCTGTAACCACGACTGGACAGTGTTACTCCATGTTTACAGTACTGTGGGGACACAGCAGCACCT